CACTGTCTAGAATTTTTGTTACTCTCATCACACTGCTCTTCTGTACATTCACTTGTAATTTCCTTCTTTTACACTCTCCCAAATTCACTCACCAACCTCCAAAGCTTGTTTTCATAATCTCCCGGAAGAAGTGTCATCAGCAAACAGCAACCGTGATGTCTCCCACTTTGTATCAGATCCAACATCTTTCAAACCCTTTCACAGCAGTGCTTCACTGTCTTTGAGTTAATTACTGACGTCACTGCAGCATCTTACGAGGTCATTTTGGCCACATTAAAGATGGTGTTTCTCAGTTCCAACTACTGTGACCCCCCACTGCTGCCTCTTGTTTTTCCTCAGCTATTGTGTGTGTGTGTGTGTGTGTGTGTGTGTGTGTGTGTGTGTGTGTGTGTGTGTGTGTGTGTGTGTGTGTATATATATATATATATATATATATATATATATATATATATATATATATATATATATATATATATATGCAAGACAAGCCACGGGGAGGGAATCTTTAACTCAAGTACTTTCACACTTCTTAGTGCATCATCAGGAGCTATGCAATGTTGCAAGGCAGCAACTAAAGCAAGGGGAGTTTTCTCAGAGTAGCGTAATGCAGGGGACACATCTGCACTACGCTACTCTGAGAAAACTCCCCTTGCTTTAGTTGCTGCCTTGCAACATTGCATAGCTCCTGATGATGCACTGACAAGTGTGAAAGTACTTGAGCTAAAGACTTCCACCCCCCTCGTGGCTTTTCTTGCATGCATGCATATATATATATATATATATATATATATATATATATATATAAATATATATATATATATATATATATATATATATAATATATATATACTGATTAGGTAACCCTGAAGAATTACCTTTAAATGGCTGGCTGAGTTTTTTTTTTTTTTTAAGTTTTTTTCTCATAACTTGAGAACGTCTCACCCGATCGACTTCAAATTTCAATAGCAACCAGAGAAATAATTTATTAATCTATAAGCATGTACGGGAGACCTCTTGTCGAGTTTATATAGATTATTCTTTTATTTATTTTCCTAATGGTAACTTGAGAATGTCTCTTCTGATCGGCTTCAAACCCTCCAACACTGATGTGTCCTACTTAAGAAAAGGTTGGGACATTACTGAAGTCTTCAGGTGCGAAATTTTTTTAAAATGGTGTATTATTTTCTGTGAGGTAATGCAATTATGCCTCTTTTGAAAGACCATATTCTGTAATGGCTGACACATCTTAAAGACAGAATAATACTCATATACTCTAGACTCTGTGGATGCAAATCTCACAGTATCTTAAGTATGTAAGACACACGAGCATATAAGACCGTGTTTCTAGGCAGAAGCAGGTGTAACGTAATGTTAGTGAACAACTGCTGAAGCTTAGGTTAGGTCAGGTTGGTCAGGACACAATATAAGTGTTTCCTGATGCTGGTCTTAGTTAAATGATGACCCGCAGCAGGAGCTGTTGGTCATCTGACTGAGGCCTTCCACTGGCTTACCCCCTCCACCCGATTTAAAAATTGTTATGATAGGAATCATATATGCTGATAAAACGCAACCCAAAGCCTTGAGTCCAAGCTTGAGCATATAAGGCGCAGGCTGATTTTCCAATACTTTTTGAGGGAAAAAAGCGCGCCTTATATGCCGGAAAATATGGTAATTAATAAATCTGAGATGGTATAGGTAAAAGAATTACAGGGGTGGGCCAGGAGGGTGTTGGAGGGAGGATATGTGTAAGACTGGAAGGGGGAATGGAGAAGAGATAAGTGAAGGGGTTGAAGAGTGAGGGAGGGGAGAAGGGGATGGAGAAAGGGGATTGATGGCAGGAGGGGAAGCAGGGGAGGGGAGGAATGTCTTAGCCGGGTGCTACTATGGGTCGATAGAATATTAAAGCAGCCAGATCCTAGATGACTCATACGAAGTGTTGCTGGGGAGATGAGGGGGTGAAACAGGGTGAGAGGTGGGAGAAAGGGGAGAGGAGTGGGAGGTGTGAGGTGGTAGAAGGGAAAGAGATAGGAGGTTTTTGGGGTGAGGTAAGGAGAATGAAGAGGTTAATTGCAGACAGGTTAAAAAGGATGGACAGAGCAAGTGTGAAGAGAAAGGATGGGCAAGCAAAGAGAAATGGGAGAGGTGAGAGAAGAGGGGTGGGGAGGTAAGAGGGGTGAGAGAAGAGGGGAGGGGAGGTAAGAGAGGGGAGGGGAGGTAAGAGGGGAGGGGGAATGAGAGGCCAACATTCGGTAACTCAGCTCCACAATGTTTATTTTACATTAATTATATACACATATATACAATTCACGTATACTAAAAAGAAAATTAATTATTCAATCCCACTGCTGCCACCAGTTCATGTGAAGTGTTCAATCCCACTGCTGCCACCAGTTTATGTGAAGTGTTCAATCCCACTGCTGCCACCAGTTTATGTGAAGTGTTCAATCCCACTGCTGCCACCAGTTCATGTGAAGTGTTCAATCCCACTGCTGCCACCAGTTCATGTGAAGTGTTCAATCCCACTGCTGCCACCAGTTCATGTGAAGTGTTCAATCCCACTGCTGCCACCAGTTTATGTGAAGTGTTCAATCCCACTGCTGCCACCAGTTCATGTGAAGTGTTCAATCCCACTGCTGCCACCAGTTTCATGTGAAGTGTTCAATCCCACTGCTGCCACCAGTTCATGTGAAGTGTTCAATCCCACTGCTGCCACCAGTTTATGTGAAGTGTTCAATCCCACTGCTGCCACCAGTTTATGTGAAGTGTTCAATCCCACTGCTGCCACCAGTTCATGTGAAGTGTTCAATCCCACTGCTGTCACCAGTTCATGTGAAGTGTTCAATCCCACTGCTGTCACCAGTTCATGTGAAGTGTTCAATCCCACTGCTGCCACCAGTTCATGTGAAGTGTTCAATCCCACTGCTGTCACCAGTTCATGTGAAGTGTTCAATCCCACCACTGTCACCAGTTCATGTGAAGTGTTCAATCCCACCACTGTCACCAGTTCATGTGAAGTGTTCAATCCCACTGCTGCCACCAGTTCATGTGAAGTGTTCAATCCCACTGCTGTCACCAGTTCATGTGAAGTGTTCAATCCCACCACTGTCACCAGTTCATGTGAAGTGTTCAATCCCACCACTGTCACCAGTTCATGTGAAGTGTTCAATCCCACCACTGTCACCAGTTCATGTGAAGTGTTCAATCCCACTGCTGCCACCAGTTCATACCAAGTACTTCAGCACTTATCCTCAAATCTAGCTCTCAGATCTGGGTGGCTAATTATCCTCAAATCTGACTGCCAAATCTAGGTGGCCTGCTATCTTTATGCTATCATAATTTCTCCACACATATACAGAGACAGCATTAAGTGGTGATATTTTTCCTTTTTTTTTTTTTTTTTGAGAGCCATACAGATTTCTCCTGGTGTGGGTCACATGACCCGCTCGGTGGAGTTTTTGGTCACTAACTGAGGTCTCAATGGTTGGATTTCCCCACCTAAAAAGAAGTCACCACACAGGGACGTGATGGGTATTGGGTTAACCAGAAGTGGGACGTCAGAAAAAATGAGGATCAGAAAAGAGGAGATGAAGGAAGGGGAAGAAACATGCTCAGAGTAGCCACAGTTATGACGGAGTTCAGCCAAACAACGTCAACTACGACAAAAAAAGAATCTCTACAAAGGCTTCTCAAAAGGAGTACGTATTATGTTAGAAGCTACATGTGGTGTTAGAAACTACATGTGGTGTTAGAAACTACATGTGGTGTTAGAAACTACATGTGGTGTTAGAAACTACATGTGGTGTTAGAAACTACATGTGGTGTTAGAAACGGCATATGGTAGACGTTACTTATGGTGTTAGAAAGCACACACAGTGGCAGTTCCACACAAGGTCTGAAGGCACAACATTAAAGAGCGTGTTGGTACATTCAAGAAATAAGGAGATAGACAACATATGAAAATATTCTTGAAGTAAATATCAATTTCTTCTTTAAATCAATAATATTTCTGGAGTAAATATTTCTCCTTCTTCCATGGGATAATATTCGTACAGTAGCTGTTGTTCCCTCCTTCTATGTGATTATATTCCACAAATATTATTCTACTCTGTACTGATATTCTTACAATAACCCTCACACCCTCTTCTGTGTCTAGGATACCTGTCAGACACTGCAACATCATGGAATCTTGGTACAGAGGGCATTTACACAACCTTCTTGCTTGCTACTGGCCCAGTCCTTGGGTATAACTTACTTCCACTGGGGATTCCCGCCTACCAGTGACTATGCCTTCGTCTGCTGCATGTCCTACACCTGTCGCCAGTATATAATCGCCAAGCACCATGACTGTGCTTCAGTTCCTTCAAGACTACGGTGCTCTTCACCAATTCCAAGGCTGAGGGACTGATTACCTCATCTTTTGTATACATTTCTTCACATTATGTCCTTGTATTGATAAAGTCACTGGATGGCGAAACGTCTACAAGTAAAGACATGCAAATGTCGCACATGTGTTTAATTCTTCATGTTGGGAGTATACCACTTTTATAGCAAGTGGCACCGTGGCTCCATGCATGAGTGTCTGCCAGACGCCCAGCTTAGGGTGTTGAGAGGCCTTAGTTTCAACCCCAGCAGCACTCTGGTGTACAAGTGCACTCTTGGCTCATCCCTCAACCATCCTCACATGCTATACGAGTTTTTTACATATGGTTTGCTGCAAATTTCTCGACTTATGTGTTTGGTGTATCTTCTATATGCAATAATAACATACCTTACTCAACTGGGAAAATGTCTATGAAGACATTTTCACAAAATTCATAAAACAAGAGAATGTCATTCATCTTGGGGAAGCTGTGTGTTGTCACACCTTCAAGTCCGGCCTCAGAATGTCTTGCTACGGCAAAACAACTCTCAAAATAGGTCACAGGTACGTCACAGTCATGTTTCAAGCCAACGAACTTAGAGTCAATAATGTCCATGAAGATGTAATTACCGTCACTCACCTGGAAGAGGTAAGCGTCGCCGAAGGCTGTAGATAAGCAGAAGATGTAGTCCCTCTTAGGATGCTCAGGGATGGGTTGCATGATAGCACCGTCCACGATAATGAGATGCTTGGGCGCCGCCTCCACCGAGCGTCCCTCCCGGGAGTCACACGGGTAGAAGAGTAGCGTAGTGCCCTTCAGACATACCCAGTACCCCTTCCAGCCTCGCTTCCTGGCCAGCTCGATCTGGTGCTTCTTCCTCAGCAGCCACTTCTTAACACTCAGAAACCTGAAGAGGGGGAGAAGATTCGCGTGAAAATACCTCGTTTATACTGCCTGAATTCATTACCTGTCCACCTACACTGCAGAGAAAATACTGCACCAAGGTAAGGTTGGATATATTGCTGTTAAATAAGAAAAGTTTGCAAGATATAAGTTCCATCTCCCAGGTTAAACATTACAAACACCAGAGATGACCAGCAGGTGACAGTAAGAACCACTGCATATGTAGTATTACTGACGGTAGTCATGGTAACGTAATTCCTCACAATGAACTCCAAAAATACTGTACTGCACTCTACTGCACTAAACCGTACACGGTACTGCACTAAACTATACACTACTGTACTCAGTTTCACAATACTTAACTTCACAGTACTGTACTAAACTTCACAGTACTGTACCTAACTTCGAAGTACTGTACTAAACTTCACAGTACTGTACCTAACTTCACAGTACTGTACTTAACTTCACAGTACTGTGCTTAACTTCACAGTACTGTACTAAACTTCACAGTACTGTACCTAACTTCACAGTACTGTACCTAACTTCACAGTACTGTGCTTAACTTCACAGTACTGTACTTAACTTCACAGTACTGTACTTAACTTCACAGTACTGCACTTAACTTCACAGTACTGTACTTAACTTCACAGTACTGTACTCAACTTCACAGTACTGTACTTAACTTCACAGTACTGTAATTAACTTCACAGTACTGTACTTAACTTCACAGTACTGTACTTAACTTCACAGTACTGTACTTAACTTCACAGTACTGTACTTAACTTCACAGTACTGTACTTAACTTCACAGTACTGTACTTAACTTCACAGTACTGTACTTAACTTCACAGTACTGTACTAAACTTCACAGTACTGTACTAAACTTCACAGTACTGTACCTAACTTCACAGTACTGTACTCAACTTCAGTACTGTACTAAACTTCACAGTACTGTACTCAACTTCACAGTACTGTACTTAACTTCACAGTACTGTACTTAACTTCACAGTACTGTACTCAACTTCACAGTACTGTACTCAACTTCACAGTACTGTACTCAACTTCACAGTACTGTACTCAACTTCACAGTACTGTACTTAACTTCACAGTATTGTACTCAACTTCACAGTACTGTACTAAACTTCACAGTACTGTACTCAACTTCACAGTACTGTACTTATCTTCACAGTACTGTACTTAACTTCACAGTACTGTACTTAACTTCACAGTACTGTACTCAACTTCACAGTACTGTACTAAACTTTACAGTACTGTACTCAACTTCACAGTACTGTACTCAATTTCAGAGTACTGTACTTAACTTCACAGTACTGTACTTAACTTCACAGTACTGTACTTAACTTCACAGTACTGTACTTAACTTCACAGTACTGTACTTAACTTCACAGTACTGTACTCAACTTCACAGTACTATCAAAGTACCTCCCCACTAAAAGCTATATATCAAGGCCTTCAATCAACTGTATAAGTTATTCTGTTTTTATTTAATTAACTCGTAAGCATCAAGAGCACCTCAAACAGCATTTCCCAGTAATTAACGATTCATTTCCCCAGCGTTGAACATCCAGCTCAACATTTTGAAGAATATGTTCTATAGTCTAGAATTAGCATCCATCTGTCACGTGGCCCGTGGCCTGGTAGCAAAAGCTCTCGCTTCACACGGTGAGGATCCGGGTTCAATTCCCGGCGAAGGAGTGGAAACATTGAACGTGTTTCCTTACACCGGTTGTCTATGTTCATCATCAGTAAAATGGGTACCTGGGTGTTAGTGGACTGGTGTGGGTTGCATCCTGGGACAAAACTGACCTAATTTGCCCGTAATGCTCAGCATAACAAGCGGCTTTCTATATAGTAGTAAGTTACTTAACGTCAGCTATGGTCTGTATACCTTGTACATGTACTTGTAGGAAATAAAGATATTATTATTATGTTTGCTAAAAGAGCGGGAAAAGTGTTCCAATAACACTAGCTAAAAGAGCGGGAAAAGTGTTCCAATAACACTAGCTAAAAGCGCGGGAAAAGTGTTCCAATAACACTAGCTAAAAGAGCGGGAAAAGTGTTCCAATAACACTAGCTAAAAGCGCGGGAAAGTGTTCCAATAACACTAGCTAAAAGCGCGGGAAAAGTGTTCCAATAACACTAGCTAAAAGCGCGGGAAAAGTGTTCCAATAACACTAGCTAAAAGAGCGGGAAAAGTGTTCCAATAACACTAGGTAAAAGCGCGGGAAAAGTGTTCCAATAACACTAGCTAAAAGCGCGGGAAAAGTGTTCCAATAACACTAGCTAAAAGCGCGGGAAAAGTGTTCCAATAATACTAGGTAAAAACGCGGGGAAAAAAAACACTAACTTACTTTCACCAAGATGAAAATTCGCCCGAGACTAAGAACCTTTTAGAGTACAAAAATTCTTTCTGCGTGACTCTAGTGGGATGGAGAAGAAAATGAAGCTTTTATAGAGGGAAAAAAAGTAGTTATTATGCGAGCTCTGGGCGCCAGAGGGGGTTGAAGAAGGACGTGAGAGCCTTTGTAACACTGAAACACTCTTCTTTCTTCTTCAGCGCACTCTTGCTGTGCTTCTAAAAGTCTTGTCTGGTTGAACTGTGAGACGGAGTCATGTCTGTCTGCCTGTCTCTGTCTATATGTTTTTTTTTCCTCTCTCTCTTCCATCTTCTGTCTATTTTCTCTCGTCCTCGTTATTCTGACAGTGACACCACTACGATGGCTTTGCATCACAGTTTAGTATGAAGGAGATGCTTTGTGTCCCAGTTTCTCTACACACATGACACAGACTTCTTAATATAAAAAAGAACACGTACCATGTTCCTAATACGTACGCGCAATGTTGCTCTAACACGTACACAGGGAATACAACTTAGCAACCACGCCATAGGCGTGCACTGTGTGCATATCTTAACACACACCTCTTGGTGTATATACACAGAAGGATCACAGGAACGCTGTCCGGGGAGCTCAACATTCGGTTCTTGGATGAAGGCACTGCGAATGGCTCTACATAATTCCAAGAGGGTATTTGACAGACTAGGCTTATCCTCAGTCCCTACCGAATATGAGCTAGTTTCTCCCAATCGTCAGATCATTAAGGATATTGGTGCCAGGAGCGCGAATCATTGATTCAGTCAACAGTACTCTTCTTGGGTCTAACACCACTGACCCGATTCTAAGAAAAATATCTCTGACCTCAGGTTGGAAGGCAGGAATGGAGACACTGATGTACATGATGCCTTCTACCTACTCACCAAATGTTTGTACCTCCCAAAGTTGTCTACTTTTAGTGATGCTCCCTAGTCTTCAACAGTCTCAAACTCAAAGACTGTGACATCCTTCTAGAGTTCATGTTAGAAAGTGTGTCCTGCACCTTTGCCTTCAAGAGGGACAGGGGTGCAAGCCTCACGTTTAGACAGACAGGGTAGACTGGAAATATGGGCACGTTTATAAACTGTCCTGGCAGCTTTCTTATCCTCCTTCATGACATCAGATGAGCTAATAAAACAAATTCTTGCAGATAACCTGGATGGTGCAGTAGAGATATAACACCCTGGGAGTGGGAGACTCTCACTACTCCATACCCAAAACCAGCTGTAATGTTGGCCTACGAACAGTACAGCTGGGACAGCCCATCACAGAGAAAGCAAATAATATTTTCACTGCCATAATGTTCAGCAGGGGAACTGCACCTCTCAAAGCTGTGAGCACACATCACACTAGGAACTTCCTAACATTTCTCATTTCTGCAACGGGGGCACATTTCGACCCGCTACCTCTCTGCACTGCAATGACTCGCTGCTTTACTGCCCCAATCCACACGGAATATATGTGTATTTGCTGCGATGCACATGCGAACTAACACCGTCTGCATGGTGCAAACTGTTCCAAAACCAAGGGACAGCATGTGACATAATGAAGTCAATATCATTAACGAGAAGCCTCGCTTCAGCTGGCTCCAAAACATCCAGCACTCCGCATGATCCTGCTATACCTCCTGACAGGATCACAATCTGTCCCTGGAAGAATGGCAGACGCTTATCATGGGATTATACCCGTGTGTCCACCCCTGGCTGACACCTACTGCTCTTCATAAGAACAATTACAGATTTAACAAATATAGACTCCAGCCATCAGTAACAATTCTTTCCAGTAGGATCAAAGACCCTGGGCAAAACATGCAACAGGAGTCCTCAAATAACTGAGTTCCAGGATCATGGATACTCCAGGAAACCTACCTTCCTGTTCCAGTGTGGCTATCCAACTGGGGGATGCTGCTGCAGTCTCACTTCCCGTTACAATCTTATTCAAAATGTTCTTTTTCATACATGATGATGCCTTTTAAACAAATAATTACTAACCTACTCTCTCTCTCTCTTCTGCATCTTGTGTCACTTGTTTGCAAGTATCGCAGACAAGCGACACATGATGCAAAACAACCACGGGGGGGGGGGGGGACGTCCCCCGTGACCGTATTTGCTTGAACCTCCTCCTCTTATCTGCATCATTGTAAGCTCCTGATGACGTGTTGATTGCAACATGAAAGGCCTAGAGCTATCATTCAACTCCCCCGTGTATATATATATATATATATATATAATATTTTATATAATATATATATAAAATATATATATATATAATATATATATATATATATATGAGAATTATTATATTTTCTTCCTTGCCGTTGCAACGACGTTTTGCCGGGCTAATTAAACGTTTTGTCTTCACATATGTAATGCACCAAGTTGATGAAACGTTTCTCATTTCCTTCCAGATCAAACTTTTCTCATCTTCCTGCTGAGAGAGATGAAAAAAATCCATACATTTTATCCCTCAGATAAGAAAAAGAAATGTTCCATAATTTTTGGCTCAGATTAAACATTTCTCATTACTCTTACCTCGTACGGAGACATCTCTGAGTAAGAGATTTATTCTCATCTTTCTCTCTCCCTCCCCCCCTCTCTCTCTCTCTCTCTCTC